TAGATAGATAGATAGATAGATAGATAGATAGATAGATAGATAGATAGATAGATAGATAGATAGATAGATAGATAGATAGATAGATAGATAGATAGATAGATAGATAGATAGATAGATAGATAGATAGATAGATAGATAGATAGATAGATAGATAGATAGATAGATAGATAGATAGATAGATAGATAGATAGATAGATAGATAGATAGATAGATAGATAGATAGATAGATAGATAGATAGATAGATAGATAGATAGATAGATAGATAGATAGATAGATAGATAGATAGATAGATAGATAGATAGATAGATAGATAGATAGATAGATAGATAGATAGATAGATAGATAGATAGATAGATAGATAGATAGATAGATAGATAGATAGATAGATAGATAGATAGATAGATAGATAGATAGATAGATAGATAGATAGATAGATAGATAGATAGATAGATAGATAGATAGATAGATAGATAGATAGATAGATAGATAGATAGATAGATAGATAGATAGATAGAAAGATAGATAGATAGATAGATAGATAGATAGATAGACAGACAGACAGACAGACAGACAGACAGACAGACAGACAGACAGACAGACAGACAGACAGACAGACAGACAGACAGACAGACAGACAGACAGACAGACAGACAGACCGACCGACCGACCGACCGACCGACCGACCGACAGACAGACAGACAGACAGACAGACAGACAGACAGACAGATAGATAGATAGATAGATAGATAGATAGATAGATAGATAGATAGATAGATAGATAGATAGATAGATAGATAGATAGATAGATAGATAGATAGATAGATAGATAGATAGATAGATAGATAGATAGATAGATAGATAGATAGATAGATAGATAGATAGATAGATAGATAGATAGATAGATAGATAGATAGATAGATAGATAGATAGATAGATAGATAGATAGATAGATAGATAGATAGATAGATAGATAGATAGATAGATAGATAGATAGATAGATAGATAGATAGATAGATAGATAGATAGATAGATAGATAGATAGATAGATAGATAGATAGATAGATAGATAGATAGATAGATAGATAGACAGATAGCTTAGATAGATAGATTAGATAGATAGGAAACAATCTGGTCGCCGGTAAACAAAACAAAGATGCCTAGTGATCGTCCCTAAAGCTATGTAGTTTGTTTATTGTGCGACGCTCGTATTTAAGAAGCGTGTGTTAGGGCAAGTTCTCTGTATGGTGGCTGAGCAATTGCCTTCTCCACGATAATTGGTGGCTGTAGAGCTCCGTTGAATGTGATTAGAAAAATTACACGTTTACGAGAAACAATCTCTCCCATGACATGACTCTGATACCACTAGCTGTCAGGAGAACGGTCTAAATAAATCAAAATATAAACGTCTGCCTGTAGACGTGAAACTTAGTGAACCTTAGTGTGTCGAGAATTTTGGAATTTAGAACCATTAACAATAAAAACATCAACAGCCACATAACAGTATTTTATTCTTTCAGTCTTCACAAACCTCTGCATGACCCAGCTCAGGCTTCGCAAACCTCTGCATGACCCAACTCAGGCTTCGCAAACCTCTGCATGACCCAACTCAGGCCTCGCAAACCTCTGCATGACCCAACTCAGGCTTCGCAAACCTTTGCATGACCCAACTCAGGCCGCGCAAACCTCTGCATGACCCAACTCAGGCTTCGCAAACCTATGCATGACCCAACTCAGGCTTCGCAAACCTCTGCATGACCCAACTCAGGCTTCGCAAACCTCTGCATGACCCAACTCAGGCCTCGCAAACCTCTGCATGACCCAACTCAGGCTTCGCAAACCTCTGCATGACCCAACTCAGGCTTCGCAAACCTCTGCATGACCCAACTCAGGCCTCGCCAGTGTGAACTGCCTAGCTGAAAGAGAACTGAGCCGGGTCAACGATGTTCTTCACAACATCCCAATGCTAACACTACTCGGGTACCACGGTTGTTGGCTCCTTAAGAGACATTGCATATTGCAAACTTCGATCGGAAATGCATGAAAAACTTCGTGGAAAATGCGTCTATCCTGACCAGACGGTGTGGATTACCAAGCTGGATTAGCTGTTAGAAAAGATCCCAATGACCACTAGGGGAAGATGATTGAAAATAAAAAAAATCAAAGCCAGCTGGAATGAACTTTACGATGCGACATGGAAATTACAAGACCCGACAGTGTTTGACTCATTTGATTTAGTGATGGCTGTAGGACTTACGACTTCCCTTTCAGAACGTAGCTGGTGCACCGTGTTCAAGCCAGAAGGGGCAAATTGTGATAAGACAGATTAGTAGCTTGGGGAAGATAAGTTAACGTTATTGGCGAAGAAACCTCTGGCTTCCTTCTCAAGCTCAACTATTTTAGCCGAAAAACTTGAAGATTAAACGTATCAACAAATACTTCTGTTCTACAACCAAATACACTGCAACACTGAACTTTTTTTTGTTTGTTTTTGTTTTGCTTTTGTGATGATGGTTGTAAGTAAGCAAAGAAAGATATGGATTAATGGTGAAGCTGAAACCTGCAGAAAGTTTTACAAATCCATCACTCAAGCCACTCGAGAAGCGCAAGACAAATAAAATAAAAAAAATAAAAAACGACGACACTTGGCTACAGCCTGGTAAAGGTGAGACGACAAAAGAAGAAGAAAAATCAAAGAATAACTCGTCCAGATATTGACGCTGACAAAAATGAAGGAATATGTCAATGAAAACACGCAAACGCTAATGAGTGAATAACAGTATATTTTTAATTTTTTTAGAAGAAGATGTTTATTTTAAAGTATCACGCAAAGTTATAAAAATGAACGAAAGGTAATCAGCGAGCTTCACAATATAACAAACACGTACAGAATGTGAATGCTGCGTCTATAGAGCCTTTGTCAGCACATACATACATTAAATAAAACGACACAAACACGCACACACCCACAAAATCACATAGATTACGTATGTAGATGCAGCCATGTCGATGTCTTCTTGGTAGTGCAATTAAAAAAACACACTAAACTGGATAATACATACTATTTTATATTTTAATAATGATATTTCCAGAGTATATATAATCTGATGAAAGTAGCGAAGATTTAATATTTGACTAACTTTGGAAACCCCCAGACGTGTTCCGTCTGCTTCCTTAGTAACCAAAGCCCAGTTGAACCTGACTACATCTTCACATTTGTTCCTTCCTCGGTGTTGCTCTTTTTTTTTAAAGATCCTTACGGTAAAAAGGGCGTGACCGTTGGACGCTTTCGGTTGTGCCTTGGTGTGGCGGCTAGATGCCTTTTTTCAGCTTTAACATCCTCTAGTAATTGCAATAACAAGCAAATAGTTGAAGTTACAAAAACAAAAGGGGGCGGGGCACAGAGATAGCAGTGGGTAGATAGGCTTGGTCGGAAACGGTTGATAGTTTAGAGAGAATGATGATTGCCTTTAGCAGTGTCCCTCACCCTCGGCCCACAAAGACAGTGAACAATGCATCTCTACCCAACTGACAGGCACCCAAAGACGAAACAAAATTGTGCATCACCGTTTGTAATAGGGTTTCTTTTGAGCACCCTTGCATCACTAATCCCTTTTTTTTTTCCACATCTGGTCACTGTTTGGTAAATCTCTGCTGTTTTATACTCTTGATTTGTGGAGTGTAGCTAACCAAAATAACGAGATATTCCAGATACTCGGATTAAACGAGGTTTTCAAGATAGGTGAAGACCACGAGTTATCACGTCCAACACTGGTGCCACCACAGGTCGCCACGTGGAAGTAAAGGACCACCACGCGTTGCCACGTGAAACTAACTCGTGGTATATGTTCAGACTCCATTCTGATCAAGTTAGTATGTGTTGAGCTGTGGGGGCGAAAGGACGAAAGACTGAATGTAAGAATGTCAACGTGAGATTGCTTGATGTGAAAGGGAAAACCAGACGACGACGTTTGAAGTCAAGATCAGCCAGGCAAGTCTGTATACCATCAAGGAGATGAACCAGGTACATCTTTGCAAACTCTGGTCAATGACTGCGTGAGAAACCAGCATGTTGAAGTCTGTGTGATGTACTGTGTGAAAGCTGTTTCTTAGGACAACGACTGGACGAGGATGTAAGTTTTAAGATGTCAATAAAGTGATGTTTTGTACGGCTAAGTCGGTGTCGGCTTGTCCCAGTTATGTCATCGTTGAATGTGTGCTAAGAGCATTCACTACACATTTCATCATCTAGACAACGAGTCAGCCCCACATTTAAACACAGCTTATTACAGTCATCTTCCCTGCATTATAACTGCTGTTACTAGTGGTTGCCCCGACATTTTTCTTATTTCTTCACTCCTTTTGAATTACTGACAATTGTTTGGGTTTCTTTTTTTAAATGTTTGTTTTCGAATGCACTTAACTTTCGTTCATTGTCTTTAGTGGTTTTCCAACTTTAGCATGCTTATGTTAAAAAGTGAAATAACATTAGATTTGAAAATACCTAACTTGATGTATGTATACATATTTATTTTGCTCTCGGGCACTAATATAACCGTTTAAACGAGATTTTTGAGAACTATGCCTAGGGAATTATTGTCCGAATAGTGGCACTTTGTGTCACCCGGTGTTAATCACTCGTTGCGCGGTTGTGGTGGTGTTAAGGCAGTTTGCGCAACTAAAATCCACTTCCATATTCACTAGCAAATCTCTAACCACAACAGTGCGGCACTACTTCAATGACGTCAGTACCGTTATCCACACGGGAAGCCGACCGGACCGAAGCAGTCTATCCTGTTTTGCAGTTACATTCTCAGTTTCAGGCATTTTAGCCCTTTAACTGTTGAAAACTCAAACTAAGGACTAACATGTGCATTTAATAAGTCATTGCCAGTGACCAGGAAAAGTTCCAATGAAATACTTCAAACACTGATGGACGTTGCCCAAATATAGATTGCACCACCTTCTGTTCTGTTTGTTCCGAGAAGTTGCTACTGAAACCATGGAATCTGTAATAAGCTTATCTCCAGACCCATTTGTGCAGACTCCGGAAGTGGCAGGCCTCGACACGTGCACCTTCTACCAGTTCCTAAACAATAAAAATGTCACCATGGTGATGTTCTACGACCCGAAACTCTCCAAGTGTCGCGCAGCCGCCCCAGACTTCGCACTGGTAAGTAACGGCTCCACTCACTGTTCGCTTTCTGTCACAGGTGTACCGGTATCAGAAACTGGCATTCGGTGGTTTGTGAAAGAAGTTGCAGGCTCTCCTGTCAAATCCGGACGAAGAATAAAAAGCCTTGGACGACTTAGTCAAAGTTCTCTCCCTTGGCCGCACTGCAAACAGTGATCGGAAAAGCCAACGAAACAAACGACACACTTACCTATCATCATACGGTTGCGTGTAGGGCTGCGTACGGTTGCGTGAGGCATCGTGAAGGGATGCGTAGTCATCATACGGTTGCGTGTAGGGATGCGTAGTGTTTGGGTTTGAGTTAGGGGTAGGGTTAGAGTTAGGGGTAGGGTTAGAGTTAGGGGTAGGGTTAGGGTTAGGGTTTAGAGTTAGGGGTAATGTTCGGGTTAGGGGTAGGGTTAGGGTTAGGGTTAGGGTTAGGGTTGGGGTTAGGGTTAGGGTTAGGGTTAGATGTGAAAATTTTGACGTAGGATTTCGAAATACTGGCCGACAATCTGATGTTTGTGGGAGTGGCGCCACTGAAACTCTGCCAAATATGACGCCAAAAGCGTGCGGCTGGTGCCCCCAATCGTTGACGAAATGTGCGTTTGACCAGCATCCAGAGGCCCTAGATTGTTTGTGTATGTATGGGACTGTGCGCGATTATAGGGAACTCCGGCGTCAAAATTGTCAAATCTAACGCTAAACCTAACCCTACCGCTAACCCTAATCCTACTCCCTAGCCCTATCCCCTACCCCTAACCACGCAAATTTATCCATCATTAAAGCATACAAATCGGCAAAAACCAACAAGCAAAACACACCCAAAAAAAAAAACAGAATTGTCCTGCAGCGTCGAAAAAAAAAACCCCAGATCTGGGGAAACAACCAAGCATTGGCAGCCCTGATGTCGACGTGACTGTCTTCTTTGTTTCGTTGGCTTTTCCGATCACTGTTTGCAGTGCGGCCAAGGGAGAGAACTCTGACTAAGTCGTCCAAGGCTTTTTAGTCTTCGTCCGGATTTGACAGGAGTACCGAAGTTGCATCTTTTGGTGCTGAGATCAGCAATACATTTGTGATCTCTCAGCTTCTGCAGCATGCTTTGTTTGAAAGGTATTGGTGTTATCTTTTCTTTACAAGTAACAAGGCATGTTGAGAGAATGATCAGTATGCATTAGGTAGGACCTGGTTTCTGGAAACCTGGAAAGGGTTTGTGTTGTGGAGAGGAGGGACTTTCTCCTAGTTCGTCACTGTTTGTGATTCCTTTGCACGATTTAATACTATCATCTAGAAAGACGAAGAGGTGTCAACAACAGCAACGAGTACATCTTTACTGCAGAGGCATCACTTTTTTCTAACAAAGCATTCAACACCGTTTTACAGCACTCATCATCACCTCTCCTAGTCTGTAAACAATTCATGTATTCTAGTGAGGTTTTAAAATTTTTGGAGCACGAACGAAGGAATTGATTTTTTGGCAAACACAGATCTGCCACAGTGCAGACAGTAGATTGCCCGTGTTTCGTTGGCTTGCCTTGCCGATCTCACTGTCAGCATGATGAAACTCTGCGCCCTGCTCATCATCTACTTACAGTGTGTCTGAGTTAAGAGTAGAGCCTGGGAGGCAACATTGATGCACTCCTTAAACATTACCCCAGGCAGCAGTAAAAACGATGCATCATAACAGAACAATAATAAAGCATGCCGTAAGATGTGACTATTAGGGGTTGGCTGAAATCAAATGTGTTTGATCAAAATGGGGCTAGCTGTAAAAAAGTGCTCACCGCCTGTTTAAGAGAGAACGCAGAAGAAGAAGACATAGGAAGAATACCAATGATTATCCTGGGGCAGGTTGTGTGTAGAATGGAGGTCCCATGAAAGCTGCTTGGGGAATCTTGATACGTCACAACTACCCCCACATCATGGATATTCTGGCTTTACAAAAATACTCTGTTTCTATCACTGGTGGATCCTTCCCTCTCTATCGGGGAGTCTTCCTTCCAAAACTGTTCCTTATAAATCATGATGATATTTAATATGAACAAGAAAACATAAATGCAAGACGTGCAGTAATCTCAAAGCAAAAAGACGTTTTTGTAATGATGCTGAGGTACAAACAACTTGAATACAATTCACCCAGCTTGCTGATTCCGCCGTGTCAACAGACAATAAAGATCAAACCATACAAGACATCGGAAAGATCACATAGAAGATGCTGATATCTCCCGACAACAGTCCGGTGAAGTAATTGGATGAGGCGAGAAAGAGAAATAAAACAAGAGTGTTTACTGTCTGCAGATGTCTTTGCATTTGGCGCTCGAGTAACGAGGCAGCAAGTAGAATAGAAGATACGAAAAGCCTGCACTTGGAGAGAGTGTCGCAGCGGGGAGTTTCTGTGGGTTCTGGGAGCCACTCAAGACTTAGGGAAAACACTTGACGGGTAGTTAACCATTGAACATTTGTTCTATGTCGACTGCTGAATTAAGAATCGGCATCACAATAGGCGGGACAATAAAAAAAAAAAAAACCGGTTTGTTCCCATCTTCAGCAGCATAAGAAGAGTTCCAATTTCAATGGTGCTAGTAACTAACTGAGGGCCAGATCCCTAGTAACGCTCCGCAGCGCCATTCTTCTCAGGCCGTATCTGTGCGTCCGCACTGTTCACTGTCCCTCAAAGGGTCCTCGCAGGTTCTAGCTTGTCATAGATCAATTCACCACCAAGTGCTGCAGAACAGACCATACTGTCTGCATGCTCGTATCCTAACGCACCAGCATAACGTTGAGCAAGTATCCAAAAAACACTAATTACCAGGGACCTTTGGAGCGAAACTGAGAACATAGAGTACTATTAGTGTGGAGACTACACTGGCTGTTGACGAGGAAAACTGAGCTTATATTGGCTTGTCCTAAATTCTGCGATGCCGAATCTTGATAAACCCAGGCTTCCATTGATGTGTGTGTGGCTTCTCTGATGGTTGTCTTTGATATGGTAGTAGTCTGGTAGTCTTAGTTTCAGCTTCATAGCAAACGGGTCACCCCATCTTTGCTCCGCTCCTGTGCCAACGAAAAACACACAGAATGTTTATCACAGTACCTTGTGGAGAGACTGACAGACTGCTGTCTCAGCATATCTAGCATACACTCGCATTAAAGCATACCGTAGCCATCTGAAGTGCTAACACAAACAGTCCAACATTAGAAATGCAGTTCATCATTGATAATAGCAGAACCTGTCGTCAACAGATCAGCAGTTGTCTGCGTGATCAATTTTAATACGGGTCCCGCCAGCATTGAACGACAGGCATTTTCTGAATCCACAATTCACACCACGTTGGTCACAGTCGAAAAAAACAAACATTCCAAATGCAATCCGCAGCTCACAGGGTCACGCCATGCATTCAACTCAGAAGCTGGGCGACGAAACTATATCCAGTCTACAAATGGAGCAAAAATGCATCGGCCACCGTCCGGCAGAAGCAAAAAAATTTCCTCTGTTCCGAACGGCGCCGCTGTCTAGCGTCCATTTTAACCGGCTTGTGACTTTGATATGTGATATGATAGTGCTCACTGTAGGCAGACAGACCTGACTGACTGACTTTCTACCCCACCAGGACCCATGTGGGTGAGGATCACCGTGGAGAGGTCACAGAAGCCGCGTTCAGCCATTAGACCATATTTATGGTTGGGCTTTATTGCGGTCCCTGGCAAGAACCAGAGTAGGGCTTCAAGTAACGAAAAATTGCTTCCCAAGTAGGGATGAGAGGATAAGTGAGTAGACAGACCTGGATAATGTCTGTATTTATGTGGAGACATTTTTCTATCTGCAGGCGGCCAAAGAAACACGCCGATCCAACCACGCCTACGCTGCAGTTGACTGCACCCAGAACAAAGATCTGTGTATCAGTAACCTGGCCTGGACATACCCTACATTCAAGGTCTACTCCAAAGCGATTGCAGTGACCACTGTCCGTGACCGTCCGTCCTACACGCATGACGAGATGCGGCAGCACGTGGAGCAGGCGCCACCACCGCCTTCCGAATACATACAGTGAAAGTTTGTCGATCATCACTTTGATCCTCCTCTTTGCAATCTCCTGTGACGACAAATAGCATGTTGCTGAACATTTCCCAAGAGCTTGCTACATTTTAATAGAAGCAAAGAAACCGAGGACACTGTACTCTGTATCCATTTATAGTATATATGCCGACCTATAAAAGACTGATATTTTCTTTTTATGATAGCTGCTTCCATCTTCATTTTCGATGTCCAAATCTTCCTGGACAAACTGCAGTAACAGAAACTACAAATGAATCGAAGTTCTAAATATCTATGTTCCTTATTTAATAGCACGAAAAACGTAAATTATTTTAAATTTAGACACGGCCTTTCATCGAATATAATTGCGGATATAAGGGTACAAAAACGCTATATATCGTTGGTATGTTAATTCAGCACACTTTAGTTTGCCGTATGAAAAAGTCAAATAAAGTTGCTTCAATGAAGATTATTTTTATCTGTAGGCGCAGAGGGTATATGATGCTTAACTCACATACTTGTAGATCTACAGAAATGTGTCAGTATGTGTGTGTTTGTGTGGTATTTGTGTGTGTGTGTGTGTGTGTGTGTGCGTGTCTAGGTCAATTTAGGAGCCAAGATCGATTTTTAAAAGCCCATATGAATGTGTTTCAGAATCTAAGACCTTCTATACAAGCAACATGCTTTATATGGAGCTTTGTAGCCGCCGAGCAAGAGATAGACAGTGCAACAAGTGGTAGGAGAATATCAGACAATTGTCTTCTTCTTCTTCCTCTTCTTCTTCATCTTCTTCTTATTCTTCTTCTTCTTCTTCTTCTTCTTCTTCTTCTTCTTCTTCTTCTTCTCCTCCTCCTCCTCCTCCTTCTTCTTCTTCTTCTTCTCCACATCCTCTCCCTCCTACTTTTCACCTGATTCTAATACATTTCTAAACCGTCAATCTCCTAACAACAAGAGAAAGATCCACTTAGTCGCTGACCAGCTTGTCAACCACGGTGTACGGCGATACTCAATACCGTAGGGTGATAGATAATACACTTGAACAATACTGTACGACAATACCTGTTTAAGTGTCATCGCAGGTCAATGCTGTACCAAGTAACTTGTAACTCTAGGGGTAACAAATGCAAACCGCATCGGCAGGCATAAAACGCCACCAAAAGAGCTAAGCGTTGGAACTGCTACACTCGAGGACAGGTAGTTAGGAGGAAACATCATCACCTGTATCCAATGAGTCTCCACATGCGAGTGTGTGTGTGTCCCTGGAAAAAGTAAGTTACTCGCCCCCTTCCCTCCCCACCCCCGTTCCCCGCCTTCTCTAGAATACAGTCAACCGTAGATCATCGTACCTAATGATGGCAGGATAAGTCTTGTTAGCTCCAGTTTGGAGCTCAGAACATTGGCTCTCCCTTGAACTGCGGCATCAAGAACATATCCAGACAAGCCTCTGTCGTTCACACATTTCCTGTGGGAAAATTACATCGCGTCTCTAATTCAGAATGAGGCCAACCAATGTCGTTGTCTAAAAAGCGCAATGGAGCATCAAATGGCCGAAGTGTTTTAGCTTGCTCAATTGAGCCAGCCATCCTTTGATTCCTAGAAGCATTGCTGTCTTTCCATCTGCACGCCAGCCCATTTTTTTTTTCAGTTTCCTTGGTCCCTGATGCTCTAAAATGTTTAACAGAACTGCTGAAGATAGGGACTTACCGCTTATGGGAATGCCTGAGTGCTGTGATATCGGTTCTTAAATTGTTTGATTGATGTAACACCCAACTAGGACACCACACCAGGCGAGAAACATTCTGTAACACTCTGCGAATGAGGATCATCCGTGGAGAGGTACCAGCATCGCCATTCAACCCATAGGTTGGGTTATATTAGGGCCCCTGACAGCCGCCAGATTAGGGCTTCAAAATAACGCTAAGAATACGAGAAATAGGAGTCAAGATCGGCACAGCCAAGCATGAGAAGCACAACACAGACTCGCACGAAGACTTGTTCACCAACATAGGACTGGCACTATTAACCGAACGACGCTCGTAAATATGTGGAGAGGGTAAAAACAATTTACCCAAAGTATTTTAAGACACTCGCCGGTGCTACAGAGCCTGTGCAATGTGAAGAGCTTTTTCAGACTCAGACTTGAGTTAGAAGAATAACGGAGTAATTATGGGTTACTACCCGTGTGCCATAATGTTGGTCTGTTGTTCGAAACCTCAATCCTATGCCGTGATAAAGTTAGTGTGGGTAATGATTAGGAGGTAAACACTATAGCAATTAATTTGAAAGCAGTGAATACAGAAGTACTACGAATGTTAAGTACAACAACATGGTGCCTATGTTGTTAAATAAGGAATGTTAAACTAAGATCTGATTTAACAGCACTTGGGACATTCCCCTACGTGATCAAGTCTCATCTTAAGCAGCACGTGAATTGCTGTACTTATTGTACCAGAAACTGTTTGAGTATATGTCCGTTTCTCTTTCCTCTGAGTGTAAATATGAGGGTGACTGCAGTCACGCTAATATTAGCAATTCCAGTGAAATGTGACTGAAAAAGCCTGGAAAAAAAAAACAATACATTTAACGTTTCGGCCAGTAGTCTTTGTCAAACATGAAGTTAACTACACAAGGTAACAAAGGGGAGAGTAATCAGATCTCAAAGGGGTCACGTGAGCAACGTTTTAAAAAATGTGATCTGGAGTGATGAAATAAAATGTATAAACAAGGCTAAAAAAATGTGGCAAAAAAAGTAATATTATTAAATGTATAATATAATAGTAGGAATAAAGAAATACAAATGTTAATGATACACAAATGATACTGCCCACCGAAACTTTATTTGTGTTGTTTCCCTAATCCGTTAGGCTTTTTAATTACATTTCACTGGAATTCCTACGATTAGAGCGACGTTCTGCAAATGCTATATGGTGATAGATTGTCCTCTGGTTACTTCCAGCTGTATCATCATCTCCTGTCCATACAGATCTGTGTGTGCCTCTGCATAGTTCTCCTAAAGAGCCTTGATCACATGTAGCATACATTCAGCAATGATTTGTGCAAAACCAGCCAGCGTGTCTGCCGTTTCATTTTTCAACACTCTTGCATAGCTTAGAGAAAATATTTTTTAAAAAAAACGCTCACACAAATTTAGAGCTAAGCTTGCCACTCTTCAGGGAGCATACCTGCTATACATTTCTTAACATGCTATGGGTGTCGGATACAATCACGACATGTGTGTTTACAACTCTTGATGATGAATATAATGTGCACGTGCACACTGACTGTTGCACACG